AGAGGAAACCAAACCAGAATACGCTCTAGTCCACTCTGTGGGGACTCAGATCTCCACCCCTCATTTACTTTCTAGTTTGTGTTGCTGTGGCTGTATTCCTGAATAACCCCATGCCACATAAACCCCCACTTCCTGAAACAGTTGAGAGGATTATATGAATCCAATACTTAATTTCAACACCAGGATGAATTAGCATTTTAGTAGCTATGATTACCATCAGTGATATAGAAGAGGTACTTGTGATATATCATTTGGCACAATTATAATACATAATAATGTGTAATAAGATTCCACTGTTTCTGTTAAAACAAAAATCTCTGTTTATACACATGCAGGTGATTTGCACACATGGGTACTGGCATTTCTACATATGATGAACTAAGTTGCTAATCTTGTCTAAAGGTTAAAATTGCCTCACTCATGGTTTTTTACTTACATTCGGTTTTTATTTTGGGATGGCTCTGAAAAGATCCACTTGAAATTCTGGAAAGTCACTTTCCCTAACCAGTCATTGTGAGGCAGACACGAGAGGCTCAAATCTCTTTCAGGTTACTTTTACTAGGTGTTGGACACTGTTGAACACTGAGTTCCGTGCTGACTGGCTCACGATAGGTCTTTAATGTAAATACTCTTTGATGTTTTTCTCTTTTAAATAATCAAAGCTGTCATGACTGAACTCCTTACCATTTGACGGACAACTGTCAGACTCTTCCCATGGATCCAACTGCTTTGACTAGGAAATGTCAATCAAGCATTCCCTTTGAGGGGACTACAGCAGGAGTGCTATCATGGTGGCCTGGCTGCTGTGAATATTGTATGGAAACAGGAAACTCAAATACAGTTTTGAGGACTACTGTGACTTTGGCTGCTCAAGAGGTCTCTTTTCAGTTAGTTACGTCTGTCCTAGACAGCCTGCACCAGCTCTTGGAGACTTCACTTCCATCATGATAAGCCTCAGTGACATCTCTATGTCTCCACCTATCTTGCTGCTATGCATGCTTAGGACAAGGGCAAGCATTTTCTCTGGTGAAACAGCAAAAAGCTCGCAATTGACACACACAAACCAGGCTCATGACTGGTGGACATGCAAAGCTGTGACTAGTGGAGCTAGAAGATGCTTCTACATATGCCACACCCCCTTTCTGCTTGTTGGGCCCTTATATGTATCAGGGTTAATTTTGAAGGCTTGTGTTCTATGTACTATTCCTGTGTTTCATATTAGGCCCCAGTAAGAGTCTCTCTGAAGTGGCCTTTTATTTACCCATATGCAGTCTTTACTGTAGGTGGAGAGGGCTGAACTGTTGCATGGAGAGAAGGTGAAGCAGGAGGGTGTTCAGCCCCAGCAGGCCACACCAGCAGAAGTGAGGAAGCAGAGAGTAGTCTAAAGCAGGAAACTGTAGCGAGCACAGACAGAAGGTAAGGAACTCTTTAGAACTGAGTCAGGAAGCTGCAGGCCTCATCTGTGGAAGACTTCCAGATAGTGGGCAAGGGTTAAAAGCCGAGGGTCCTGATAATTGAAGCTTTGGCTCTGTAAAACCAGCTGCTAGGTTCTGTGCCTAGAGCAATAGCCTCTGACCCCATATCCCCAGGCTCTAAATCTCTGGCCTGCAATGTTGGAGCTAGAAGCCTCCAGCTTTGAAAGCTGCAGCTTGCTTTTACCTGAGTAATTACCTATATAAAGTAAGCCACAGCCTCTAGTTCTCCAGGTCTGGAGCTGTATGCTTCTGGGTGTGTAGCCTCGAATGCTAGGAGCTCAGAGATGGTACACAAAGGGAGCTATCCTTGCCATTCTTTTTGAGATTTTAGTTTTGGTTTATGTACATGATGTTTTGTCTGCACACATGTCTGTGCAGCACATGCTTGCAGTGCCCACAGAGGTCTGAAGAAGGTGTCAGATCTCATGGAACTTGAGTTGTAGACAATTGTTAGCTGTCATATGGATCCTGGGAATTGAACAAGGGTCTTCTGGAAGAGCAACCGTGCTTTTAACCACTGAGCCATTAGCCCTATCCTTGCCATTCTTGAACATTCAAATAAATCAAACAGACCCTCAGCCAGCCTTTCCAGACATTAGGAGTATTTTAATGCAGTACAGAAACAGGAAGGTTTCTATGTAACTGTTGACAAGGATTCTTTCATTCATATATATATATATATATATATATATATATATATATATATATCACACGCATATATATATATATACACATATATATGTATATATATATATATATATATATATATATATGGATCCCAGTTCCCTCTCCCTCCCTCCTATCCCATCCCCCCCCCACTCCACAGGGAGGGTGAGGCCCTCCAGGAGGGATCATCAAAATCTGTCAAGTCATTTTGGAGCAGAGACTAGGCCCTCCCTCCTGCCTCTAGGCTAAGGGAGTATCCCTCCATGGGGAATGTGCTCCCAAAGTCCTTTCATGCACCAGGAACACATCCTGGTTCCACTGTCAGAGGTCCCTTAGAGTGCCCAGGCCTTCCAGCTGAGATCCATGTTCAGGGGGTCTGAGTCAGTCCAATGCTGGTTTCCCAGCTATCAGTCTGGGGGTCCATGAGCTCCCCCTTGTTTTAAGGCCAGCTGTCTCTGTGGGTTTCTGTAGCATGGTCTTGACCCCATTTTCTTATTACTCCTCCCTCTCAGCAACTGGATTCCAGTTCAGCTCAGAGTTTAGCTTTGGGTGTCTGTTTCTGTTTCCATCAACTACTAGATGAGGGCTCTATGATGGCATGTAAGTTAGTCATCAATCTCATTATCAGGAAACGGCATTTATGGTAGTCTTTCTACTGTTGCTCATATTGTTAGTTGGGGTCATTCTTGTTCCTTTCCCCTTCTGTGAGGGACCTTGTATGAATCTCTTAAGTTCCTCCGACAAGGATTCTTTCTAGGGAATGAAATGAAGGGATAGTGGACAGGAGTAGACAGATATTTCTATACCTCAGTACTATTTATAAATAGTTCATTGCACACTTATTTTGGAAGAAATGCCAAACCAAAGAGCAAGAATGTCCACCAAAAAGGACCAAGTCTCAGTGCATTAGCACATATCTATAGTCAGTTTTGTGTCCCCAGAGGCAAAAGCTGGAGTCAGGGAGTTACAACATCTGTCTGGATAGCATGGTGAGATAGGAGAGGATGGAAGTGCGTGGTTTAATATACTCTGAAGTCATTAACAAAAATGATTGTTGGGTAATATAAAGTTCATTGAATTAACATTGAAAAATGTTTATGGAGGCTGAACACATTTACCTAGAACTTTGATCCCACTTGTGTTTGTTCTTCTGTCGCTGTGACAATTATCTGACCATTTAAAATCAGTAAAAATATATTTGGCTCAGTTTTAGAGTTTTAGTTCATGGTCCACTTTGTTACATTACTGTGGGCTTGAGGCAAGGCTGGACATCATAGCAGGGAGTGTGTGGTCCAATAAAGCAGCTCCTCTCATGGCAAACAGGAAGCAGAGAGAGCAGTGACAGGAAGAAACCATAGCTACACAGTCCCTAAGGACACACCTCCAGTGATGTACTTCCTTCCGTTAGCCCTACCTCCAGCTTCTCACTGGCAAGGAGGCAGTGAAAACATTATTAGCCTACTGATTAGGCCAGACCCCCAGGATCCAGTCTGGGGGGGGGGGGTCTGTCAGCTGGCAAACCAAGTCCCAGGGGACAGTCCATATTCAAGCCTCATCATTCTCAACCTGTGGAGACAAGGTCCTGAAGCACCAACACAATCCTACCTTAATCTTTGTTTTGGGTGTGACATAGATGAAGTAGTTGAACGAGGAGGGAAGACTCTTTTTTTTTAATATTCTGAATCATTTGCATTCTTTACAAAGATAAGGTAAACTTCTTTGAAAATGTCAAATACACACAGGAAGTAATAGTGTTTGTTACCATCTTGTACTTGCCTGTATCACATCTAGAACAATATGTACTCAAATTTCAAGGCATTATTTAGGCCCAGGGATCCCATTTTTTGGGGAATATATGCTATTTCAATTCACTTAGGGTCTTGATAGGTTCCCCCCCCCCCCCAGGAAGGAATCTGATCTTGCACTTAATATCTGATAGTGGAGTAATCATGTAATCCCTTAATCTGGATTCCATTTTTCAGCCATGCAGGACCTCGTGGACAAACTAAGGCCGGCATTCCCACTAAGCGACCCACACGTTGGGAAGAAATCTAAACCAAGTCTTGGTAGCTCAAACTGGAACTTTTAACTATGGTGTTTCCGGCCCTGCCCTGGCTCGCGGCAGGTTCCTGAGGCGTTGTGGGGTGGGTGGCTGGGTCCTCCCCTCAGCGCTGAGCCCCGGGTGCCGGCTGCTCTGTGCTCAAAGTTCGGGTCTGCTCTGAGGCCCGGCCTGAGTCAGCGCGGCGGCCGAGAAGTTGGGCGCGAGGCGCAGGGCGGGGCTTCCTCCGCCGACCCGTGCCTCGCTCCACTTTTCCGAGTCCACGTCTCTTCCTCAGTCCAGGCGCGTGTTTCTTCAGCTCGGGCCAGGAAGACGTGACAGCCGCGCACCTTTAACGCCAGAGCCGGGGCCGCGCGCCTCGAGGAAGCTCTCCGCGGAGGCCGGGACAGCGCGGCCCAGCCCGGCCGTACACAGGCTCCGCAGGAGCGGCCGCGCGCGTCTCCCCTCAGGCCCGGCCCGCCCTACAGCTCGCCGGCCGCGGCAGCATCCCGGGCTATGGAGACCGGTTCGGACTCAGGTCAGAGGCCGCGCGCCTGCGGCTGAGGGGGAGAGGCTGAGGTGGGGCGGCCCGCCGCGTCTCGGTTCCGCGCGGGGGTTAGCTTGGCGGCGGCAGGTGGGCAGGACGAGGCGCGAGAGAGCGAGCGAGGGCGGGCGCGCGAGGGGCCGGAGGGGGGGGGGAGAAGGATGGCTCAGCTCTTTCTAAATATAAGAGCCGGCGTGAGGCGAGCGAGCCGGGCGCCGAGCCGCAGAGCTGCCGCGCGGTCGGTCCCTCACTCGGCGGCAGCGGCTCCTCACAGGCGCGAGGCTGAGGGAGCGCCCGAGTCGCGAGCTCGCGCGACGCGGCGTGGCGTGGCGTGGCGCGGCGGGAGCGACGCTCGCAGCGCGGAGGACGCAGGCGGCGGGCGGGCCTCGAGGGCGCAGCGCGGCCCGCGTGAGGGACCCGAGGCGGCCCCGGGCCCCTGCGGCACGGCACGGCACGACACGGCACGGCGACGGCCGCGAGCCCCCCTCGCCGGCCGCCCGCCCGCCCCTCCCTCCCTCGCTCGCTCGCTCGCTCGCTCCCGGGCGCAACATGGCTGCGGCCGTCGCCTCCGCCTCCCAGGACGAGCTGAGTAAGTGCGGCGCAGAGCCTGCGGCCGGCCGCGAGCGGGAATCAACTCCACGCAGAGCCGGGCCCCGCGGGACACTGGAGGCTCGCGGGGCCGGGCGAGCGGGCGAGCGGAGGCCTCGGCGTGCGGGGGCCTGGGGCGCTCGGGCCTGCCTGGCTGGCTGGCCGGCGAGCGGGCGGGCGAGCGGGCGGGACGCCGCCGCGGGCGCTTGTAGGCCGCAGGTTTGCACTGTCACGTCGTGAAATTGAAACCGGAGCTCCCGACAGAGCCGCCCCTGCTCGAAATCCGCTTCGGCCCGGGGTTAGGGGGAGCCCGGCCCCTCCGACTTGCTGCCCGAGCTGGCGCGCGGCCTTTCGCCCGCCCCAGGGTCGGACAGTGTCCGTCTGCTCGTCCCCTCTGACCCCTGCCATGTCCCCTGGAAATGGAGCTTTTGGGAAGGGGAGAAGGTGCCTTTCCCCGCCATCCTAGGAATCGGCGGAAAGGTCACAGATTGGAGATGATTCTCAGGTTGAAGCAGGGAAGACGGATAGTGCCGCTGTGAGTGGCAAGAAAAAAAAAAAACCTACCCCCCCAAAAAAAGAAAACCCGCGAGGTGACAGAGCTGTCAGAAAGGAGAGGCAATCATACTCTATGCCAAGCGTTGCGATTTTCCAGGGGACGAAGATCCAAGCTCGCAGGGAGCAGTGGTCACTCTTCATTTCCAGGCCGCCCAGCGTGCTGCCAGTGTTCCACTCTATGCTTTGTGGGAAGTGTAGTTCCTGGGTGTTGCAGGCCTATTCAGGGGTCATAAATATTTAATTTTGTGGGATATGTAGAATAATTTGTTGCGTTTTGGGTGGTTAGTTCAAATGCTTTACGGTATTTATGAGCACTCCCTAAGCCCCCACGTTGCCCTTTAGCTAAAGAGCAAAGAAGAAAGGTGTGTTATTTGGGGATGATGTATATTTATGTATATTTTAAATGCGAACACGGGTGAGGTGTTTTAAGCATATGTTTGTGAAAGCTTATGTTATTAAAGCGTCTCAATCGCCATATGAAAGTAGTTAAACGTAGTTTATGTTTCCTTGGTACTTGGCAGTTGAAAGCTACTTTTATGAATGTGATCTCACTTTTGCCCTCATAACAACGTTGTGTGGCAGGTAGGTAGGAATTATCCTTGTTTTAAAGAGGAGGCAGGTTTAGAGGGATTAAGTTCCTTGCTGCCTGACTCAGAACTGGTGGAGCAGGAGTATTGGTAGCTCTTTTGGAAGCCGAAGTAAGCATTTGGTATGGCTCTGGGAAGAAAGGAGACTCTGAGGGGAATAAGGCAAGGAAGGTCTCAGGGTCTGGAGAGAGGGAGTGTTGACTGCTTGCCCGCCAGTCCCCATGGAATCACCACTTGACCTTTTGAAGAAATTAATTCCTCAGTTTTATTTTTCAGTATTTTTAATGTGGTAAGATACTCATCACACAAATGATCATCCTAACCATTTTTAATTGTGTAGTTCAGGGTCATTATGTGCATCTGCTCTGTTGTGCAACCACCACCACCATCCATCTTCAGGACTCTTCATCTTGCAAAACCGAAATTCTGTACCTATTAAACAGCTCCTCATTCTTTCCTCCTGGAACTCCCTGGCAGCCACTTTTATGCTTTTTGTCTCTGAACTTCACTAGTTAACATGTTTAAATGACTTTATATTGTATTTGTCTTTTTCTGTGTTTTGTTTCATTTAGTATGATGTCTTCAAAGTTTATCCATGCTGTAACATCTGCCATGATTTTCTTTCTAAGATTGAGTAACTCACCCTTGTATGTAATACATTCTCTTATCCATTCATCTATGGGCAAGGACAAGTTGCTTCCAAAATTTAGTTATTATGAATAATGCTGTTGTAGTCCTACTTTGAATTCTTTTGGGAATATACCCCTAACTTTTGAGGAACTGCCATTTTCTTTCTTCCTTTTTCTTTTCTTTTTTCTTTTTGTTTTTATGGTGTCTGGGATTGAAACCAGGGCCTTGCACGTATTAGGCAAGTGCTCTATCACTAGTTAAGACTCCCAGCCTGCCACTTGTCTTTTTGCCAGCGGCCATACCATTTTACATTCCCACCAACATTGCATAAAGGGTTCCACTTTTCCATATTGTTGTAATTATTATTTTCTTATTTTCACTAGTATCATTCTAGAGCATGTGAGGTTGTCTGATTTTATATATAAAATGCATATTTTAAAATTGACCTTATAGTGTTTGGATTTCTGTTGTAACATTAAGTACTTGAAAATCTGATAGGAATGGGAAAGAAAATGAGATGAAGGATTAGATAACATTTGAAGTGGCTCAAGTGTTTGTGTATCTGCAGTTTGTGCTTGTATATCAGGTACCATTTAAAGTGCTGATACTATTTCTGGTTAAGAGGTTTATTGGCATTAAGTGAAAATGTTGAAGTTAGCAACAGATAGTTTAATTCTAGCTGTAGTTTTCTGTGGTCAAATTATCAAAGAAATCTGTTGATTTAGCTTGGTTTTTTTTTTTTTTTCAGGAGAGATTAAAGACTTGGCATTTGGTACCTTATAATAACCCAAGACCATGTATGTAAGTGCAGGTTAAGAAATTTCAAATGAAGATCTTGACATGGTGATCCAAGCATTTGTGAAGCAAGAGGAGCTCCAGTTTGAGGCCAGCCTGAAATATATAGCAAAACTCTGTCACACACATGCACTCACACTGTAGCATTTTTTTTGTTTCAGAATGGCTGTACAAAGAGGAGATGAATGGTAAAGGTGCCTTGAGGGTTCCAAGAAAATGGAACTAATTATCTGAACATCTGGTAGTATTTTACTGTTTTTGTGATTGGTCTTGTTATGTTACACATGCTGGTCTCCAACTCTTGGGCTCCAGTAATCCTCCTGCCTCAGCCTCCTTATTACTACAACTAAACCACAGGCTGTTACCATTGTGTCTGGCTTACTATCATTTCTGTATAGTAGATGATAATAGAAACATTCCTCTGGGTGGCAGCATTGATTTTTACCCTACTGTTTCATTATGAAGTTCAACATAACAGAAAAACTGAAAATGATTATTTATATACTTACCACCTAGATTCTACTTTTGTTGATATACTGTTAAGTGGCATTAAGTTGTCCGTCTTTCATATACATAGCCACTTTAAATTACATTGCCACAATACATTACTCCTCCCCCCCCTAAGTCTGGGTATATAGCCCAGGCTAGCCACAAACTGTTGGATCCTTCTGCTGAGAGTACAGGCATGCACCATCATGCCCAGCCTTAGATTGATTGACTGATTAAATAATATACCCTTGAATGTAAGTGAGCAACAGGTAGGAAGACAAGATAATCTTCAGTTTTGTTAGAATTTATGTTCTTTTTTTAAAAAATATAAATCTTGTATTTTTTCCTTTGAATAAGGTGGCTATAACAGAATAGTAGTAAAGCCAATGATTTTTGAGAGTGTATATAATTTACTGACTCCTCAGAATAACTCTGTGGATTTGTTGCTGTCAGCCAGATGTGGAAGTTATCCTAGGGCATAGTTAGGACTTGAACTTAGATGCTTTGATTTGAAAAAATGTCAGTTCTGATCTGTCAGCTCTTAACTTCCCTACAATAATAGAAATAAGTAGTTACAGTTTTAATGTGCTTTTTCTTTTATTTCTTTATATAGGGATCAGCACCAGAGTTTATGTTCTGGGGAAGGGTTCTGCTACTGAATAAGCTTCCAGCCTTTGTGGCAGCATTTTGCTGTGTGATGAACAGAATGTACTAGACTTTTGGATAGAGTGTGGAAAAAGATTAATTAATTCATGTTGTTAAAAGTGTTTCTTAGACCTAGTTTGTAATTACGTATGTTCATAGTCTGGTTTTTCTTTGTATTTAGGCTCATATTTACAAATGGAATGAAATTCAATAGAGGCCAGATGGCTAATTTTTATTCTAACATTATCCTTTATTGTTTCATGGAAAAGCCGGCGCTATAACAGTGTTTCAGTAGCTGGGAGAGGTGCTTCTGATAGAAGGAAGAAAGGATTCAAGAGTTTTTGCTTGCTTAGCTTCATAGTGGTTTCCTGTTCTTAACTTTGTAAGATGGCATTCAAACCTGATCATTTGTTGGATTACTTGAAGAAGCAACGTATAATCTTGAAGCTTACACTGTTCAATTTCATCATTAGATATGGCTTTGTGAAACTATTGGTATAGTTAGTCAGATAATCAGCATTCCAGCAATCTTATGAGAGTGGCTCTTTTAGGATGTTATGTGGCAAGCTGATTTGTAGCTGAATTATTTGGGTGTACTGAAATGAAATAGTTTTTCAAAGTTGATCATTGTAATGACAGGCATATAGACTGCTGAGCTGATCTTTGTAGAAGGCTGTCAAGTCTGTATCATTAGATTTTGGTTATTTAAACAAATATGAAGTTAAAATGGAAAATTACAACAGGATTTCTCCCTCATTCTATTCCAAATTTTATTTCTACCCTATTCTTTTTGAATTATGCTTTCAGGAAACAATAATTTTAATAAAGACCAGTGCCAATAGTTGGCATAGGGATACTGGCCTAGTTCAGAAGATAGATGTTAGAATTGTAGGCAGTTGCCAGTGTGCTTAGATGGTTTGATCCAGTTTATTTCTCCTTTCAGTCCTGGGCAAGACTCTGCTTTGATGCTTGGTATTTTGTATGGCATGTTTTAATCATATATTTTTCAATTCAGTAAGCAAACTTTTAAAATAGAGCAAGTAATTTATGGTCTTGTCCTCAGAATGCATATAATTTGACACAGATCTATGTGTCAATATAAATAGCTAATATGAAGCATGATATGAAAAATGTTTATATGGGTCTTTGGAAACCTCAAGGAATGAGTATAGCATTCTAGGGCCTAAGGAATAACATCGTAATTTGAGACATGGAAGTAGAATAATAATCATGCATTTTAAGAAAAGACTAAGTATATCATGTGAGAGGAATGAAGATATTTTTACTGTGTCTGTGTAAA